TTAATCATCTCAACTCCTAAACTTTGTAGGCACTGGCGGAGGAGCTGACGAATTATGCGAGGTGAGGTCTAAATTGTTGGGAGGTAATATCCTACCACTCCATAAATTTATTAGTTTTTTAAATTTGTTTTTTCTCTGTGTGACTCTCTTTCTCTGTTGTGGGTTTGGTTTTGATTTCGGTTTTAGTAGGATTTATGTGTTTGTTTATAGATTTACATGGTGGAAAAGAATTATTGGTGATGATAGTTGCAATCGAAGTATCTATGCCCATTATGTGCCAAGAATTTTGATCAGATTTTGTTTTTTTCAATGAAAACCGTAAAATTGAGGTAAAAAAATGGGTATCGATTTTTTTATTTTTTATTGTCATTTTATTTTATAGAAAATGTAAAAATTTATTAAGAATTCAAATTGTACTATAACATTAGATTTTTGTATAATTAAGTAAATTTAAAACTTTTAAATATTATTGTGTTTTTTATTTTTATCGTCTTTATATCCTATTATACCATTACTACTATTTGTTAGTTTGTTAATCGTAATTCAATTAATTGAAAATGAAAGCTTAGTATAACTTTTCATATATATATATATATATATTAATTAATTTACTACCGCTATATTTGTATATAATAGCATAATATATAGGGATAATTTTCAAATATAATTTCTATTTTTTATGTGATTAAAATAGTCCATTTTAAAATAGTATATTAGATAGCTTCTTTTTTTTATCAAAAAACCCAATTTATTTTTTTTATACTTTTTAATTTTTGAAATTGAAATATCAGTTATTTATGTCCACAAAACAAAATTGATAAACACATATCCAACAACTGCATATTTTTTTCCTTTTTCTTTTATTTTTTCTTTTTTTAATAGATAGGATATTTACAAATGAAAAATATTTGACACCTCAAAAAACTTTCCATAATTCAACTTATAATAATGTGGTCATAAGTGTCAATTTTTATACAAATATGAGAAGAGAATTAATCAAATTAAACATTTCAACCAATCACATACTCAAATTTTTACTATTTCAAGATGTTATTTCACTATAATTCCAATTAATAGAATCTTCAACCCTTAATATTTTTTTATCGAATTATAATTTGATAGAAATTTAAAAAGATGAAGCGTTGAAAATTATTGTTTTTTTATCAAAATTGATGAAAAGAAAAAAAAAATGGGATAAGAATGAAAGTTCTATTAAAAATTGATAAAAAAAATTAATGAAAAAATTAAAGTAATTCATATCAAATCAATTTTTTTATTCAAATTTAAAATCAAATTGGATAAAAAAAATTAAAAGAAAATTATGAAAGGTTAAAAATTTTCTAAAACTTTCTTATTCTTAAAAACTAGAAATCCGTGTGCGTATTATATTCATATTATATTTTTAGTTATGAAATTAAAACCAAAAGAAATGTAATTTAAATTATTGGATTAATAACAGAAACATCATATCAATTATTGTTAAATATCATTTCACTTCACATTTAATAATAAAATTGTATATTTGTCTTAATTATAACTTTTAAATTTGTATATTTTCATAACAATAAGAGGTATATCATAACTAATATAACCTCATTTAATTATATTTAACTTCTTCTTCTTCTTTTTTATTACGAATTATCAAAATTACACTAAATGGATTTATATATATATTTTAAAATTTTTTAAACTAATAATTTAAAAAGTTATAAACATAAAAATTAATTTATAAATTTCATATGTACCACAAAATAAAATAATTAATTAACTTTTAACATATTTATAATATATATTTTTTTTAATTTAATAAACACGTGCATAGCACTGGTTATACACTAGTATATATAATATTATATATCAAGTTTAAGTATACAAATTTAAAAAATTGTGATAGAGCATATTCAATTTTATAAAATATTACATGCAAATTCTGCTATGAACTCATATTTTATATTTAAAAAATTGTGATAAGCACATTCAATTTATATCATATATATATAATAATATAATATTAAATACGGCATATATATTTATTTAAAGCAATAAACTGATTATATTTATATATATATATATTAATATATTCTCTGTCTTCAATATTTTAAACAGAAGTTATATATATATATATAATAATATATAAAGTAACCTCTTTCTTCAACTTCTTTTCAAGGTGAATGAGAACTTGTGGATGATAATTTTAACCTAGAAATTGGAAAAATAGTACTGCAAACTTTAGAGAGGGAATGTAAACACCCTCAGTTTTGATTTGTGATTATTCTGGATGTGGCAAGCCTACCAAACCATTTAATTAAGGGATGTGTTATTAAGTTGTGATGGACTATGGGTATCATATATGGGTGCCAACATGGTACCATTTGTATGCAAAAAAATTTCAAATTGGGTCCATCAAGTCGATATTTGTAGTGTTTTATTTTGAGTAATTAAATAAATATATTGTTAAATTTTGTTTAATTTAATTTTTTTTATGTAATTTTAAAAATTATATATATCTCTTTAAATTTTTATTTTATAATAAATAATTATTTTATTAATAAATTATTAAATTAATTAACAATATTTAATAATGTCAAAAAAATATTTTAATTAATAATTCAAGTTACCACACTATAAACATATTGCAAAATCTCCAAATAATTTTTCAAAAAACTAAAGAGGTATAAGATATTTTGTTCAATGTTACAATTTAAAAAAATTATAAAAATTTTAGAAAATTACAACAAAAAAAAAAGTGAAAAAAAGAGAGAGAGACTCAAATTTGTAACAAAACAAATCTTGAATTTTTAATTTTACCAATTTAATCTTAATTTTTTTTTATTTTTTTCAATATAAATCATTAACCTCTTTTTGTTAAGTAAAATCAATAGAAAAATATTTTCATTATTAAACTCAATGTAAATTGATA